ATTCGAAACACACATCATGTCCTCAAAGTCTTGGAAGTCCTCAAAGTGGTATTCGAAACACAATCATGTCCTCAAAGTCTTGGAAGTCTCAAAGTGGTATTCGAAATATATATCATGTCCTCAAAGTCTTGGAAGTCCTCAAAGTGGTATTCGAAACACACATCATGTCCTCAAAGTCTTGGAAGTCCTCAAAGTGGTATTCGAAATATATATCATGTCCTCAAAGTCTTGGAAGTCCTCAAAGTGGTATTCGAAACACACATCATGTCCTCAAAGTCTTGGAAGTCCTCAAAGTGGTATTCGAAACACACATCATGTCCTCAAAGTCTTGGAAGTCCTCAAAGTGGTATTCGAAATATATATCATGTCCTCAAAGTCTTGGAAGTCCCCAAATCGTAGTCGATGTCTAAATCATGTCGAAGTCCTCAAAATCTTAGTCGATGTCTAAATCATGTCCTCCAAGTCGTGCAGGTCCGTCCCGCATTGGAGGTAGATACGTGGATTAAATATATTGTGCGCATTTCCGCCCCCTGTGCGCTGTCCCCCTGCACTGCGCGTTTTCACATATCGAGGGCTTTGTCTGGTATCTACACTTTCATTTTCAACACCTGGGTCACAATCCTCTTCCTCCCAGCCTATCCAAGCGATGACACACCCCACTGCTTGCAGGAGTCAACAAGGCACGGGCTGCACGAGGAGAGCGCTAGCGTATGGATGAAAACCCATCTTTATTAGCCGTGTTAATAACAACATGTTAATACCAGTTAATAACATAGGTGCCGCTCAGGAGGGGTTAATAAAGTGCTAATAAGTCAAGTGACCCCTGCAAGGGTCCAACTTTCGTGCCTTCCCGTTGATAATCGTTGATTGAACTCCTGGCATTGTGCAAATCATGCAGATCATGCAAAGAAGACAGCGAGAGCAAGTGAAAAGTATCGCAATGTCATTTTTCCAACTTTCTCTTTCATTCGCCTGTCAGACGAGCACTAGCAGTTATGGTTGAACACAGTGCCGACTCACTTTTTGCCATTCAAGACTACATGAGGTCCATTATCTTCCCAGACAAAAATTTGTCTGTGTCGTCTCTCTTACTGTTCCGACTTCCATCCCCCACCGTGACAGACCCCCCATCTTTACATCACTATTTCAGTAACGACGACCCACACCACGAAAACTCGTGAGCAACTTCAAGATGGACCAGCTGACTGCTACCTTGCTGCCCTATGTTTGGATCCTCGTAAGTCGCAGTTATATCTTCGCCATGCTCATGCTGATCTATGGAACAGACTATGTGCGCAGTGCGATCCTTCATAATCCGCTCTCTCTCAAAATCAAGCCCCGTCGAATCTCTGAGTTAGGTTCAGCATCGGACGAAGATGTCCTCAAGTCACCTACCTATCAACGCGTTACCAAGTACCTCAAAGTCGTGCTCGAAGCTGAATTCAAGTCTCAGCATAACCCAGTCCTCAAGGGTAAAACAGCGACATTTGTCCGGGAATCATTCGTCCGTCAATTTGAGCGCTACGTGAAAGGACAGTATCCTTTCGATACACCTTTGGAGGAAGGGCAGAACACGCTCTCATACTGGATTCATTTAACGAAAATTTCGGAAGGGTCCGTGCTTGCGGTGAATTGCTCCTCATAGTATGCAGACAATCATTAATTTGTCTTCTACCTCCAGTGCATGGCCCAAAAGCTCTACTCGATCAAGGCATCCTCCATACCAGAAGAACGTACCATGTCTGTGTTCACGAAGATGAACACGCCTGCAAGAAATCGTCAACAAGTCCGCACCCTCGTTGATATGACGCAAATTCGGCAGTGGCACATGTATGATCCTGAGGTTAGTCTTGTGTTGAGCTAATTCAAGCTGGAACTAACCATGCACAGAAAATCGCAGAAAGACGGCGGCCTGATGTTGCATTCTGTGACATCGAGTCTTTAATTTCTGCACCTACTAAGTCCCCTGTGGACCGGACAGAAAAGCATGGATCAACAGGGAGCTATTCATCCGTGGACACCGCTGACGGAGAGGAAGAGGTGCTTGATGAAGAATACACTTGGCTGGATGAGGTGGTCGCATCCGTGCAAGCTCAAGATTCAGCCTTCGACGTTGAGGCCGAAGTGGATATCCATGCACCAATTGTGACAAGGATCTTGTCAGATGAACGCGAGAGTGTACCTGACCAGGATCTAGAGAATGATGGCCGTAGTACTGACGGCACTAGTGACTTGGAGGATGCGGACGCCGAGTGGGCCAACTGGTAGAGAACTCGGAGAAAAGTTTTGAATTTTGGGTCACCTGTTTGTTAATAACTTGTTAATAACTTGCTTGTTATTAAGTCCCTGCGAGCGGCGGGTTATTTAACCATGTTATTAACTGCTCGGAGAGTTTTTATCCGTACCCTAGAGAGCGCAATCGTCGCAGCAGATGACGGACGTGAATCGGTTCACTCCCTTTGACTTTCAGTTTCACTCCGGATCATACTACTCTACTGTCCCCTTGAACTCTCAGAGCATACCACCATCTCACTTACATTACTTTTTCAGCTGACTATGTTGCATGCCAGGACTGATATTGTACATGTCTGCATCTACTCCGTACGCTGATACTCCAGCACTAGTAGTTTCAACTTTCATGCTTCTTCTGAGTCTTTCACGCATGCAAATGTTCCGCCACTGATCTTGTTTGAGCATCCGACGACTCGTTTCGTAAGTTCCCGGTCGGGCATTCTGTCCAACGACGAATACAGCGAGTAAGAGCAAGTCTGAACTTCCGTGTCAGCGGTTCACGCACTCTGCTTTTTGTACCCATCTGGTCTCAATCAGTGTCGTCATGCAGTAATCCGGCTCGAAAAGGCAAAGGTCGAGACTACGTGCTTGGACGCCAATTAATGCCTATCTACCACCGTATTGTCGATTTTCACTGGAATTGCAGCTGGGATGGATCATAATACTGATTTAGATGCCGTATGTGAAATCTGACATTGTTCTAATCCTTTGCTGTTTATCTGATACGCTCAGACCAAGGTGGACTCCGTCACATAGGTAGCGTGACTCTTTGTCCAAATCACGCTGCCCAACCATTTGTATCCTATTTGATCTACACTCTACGATGTCTCGCTGAATGTCTTCCACTCATCGCTTCTATGGTGCTCCGGAATCATCCACCGTGGATCCAGATGTCTGCAAACATATTTCACTAGTTTGTATGGAGCTTTGCCAGCTTGATCGAGCACTTCTGCATTTTGACGGTTTTACTTCCGATTGGATTGACACCCATAATGGTATAGGTCAAGGCGACCCTCTCTCAACGATGCTGTACGATATTTATAGCGTTTACATGGCCAATATCGTGCAACCTCGGAGAGTTCACAAGGCACTCAAACAACTCACCCTTGCTTTCTTAGATGGCATGGCACTAGTGACCACCAGTAAGGATTTTGTTGAAACTCATTGGAATCTCGAAGACTTGCTCGAGTGTCTCGGGTGTGGTCATAACTGGTCGCAGAAACATAACTCTCTGTTGTTGGACTTCTCTATGAAAAGGAAGTGCGAGCGCCACCAATGAATCTTCAAGGTGCCGCCATACCACTTCCTGACTGTTATCCTCGACTAAGAATTACACGGGACACCAAAGGAAGAGTCCCCACTTCTTGCATGTGGATTCTGACACGAAAACGGGAAGCATGTCCTCACCTCCCTTGTCCTGTTTGACATTCCAACTACTACCTATCGCACACCCTACTTGATCTCTGTTTGGTTTGTGTAAGCGGACGAGCTCGAGTTATATGTTCTCATTATTATTCATTACAAACGCAAGTCTACTTACAGCCACACCCTCTCCGAGAAACTGCTTGTCTAAAACGGCCGGCGGGAACAGTGAACTGGTAGGTGTATACCATACACCAGTGCATTTGCGAGTGAGTGGGGAGACCCCGGGTGTGAATCATGCGTGGCTGAGAGATGCTGCAAACTGTGTTGGTTGTTGCCAGGTAAGTAATTGCTGCACAAATTGTAGGCCCCAAGCCACGGATTCTGTGTATCATGAGGGCGTCTGGACCGACAATTCCAGGCTGCGAATACTGCAAAAGCAGGAAAAAAAGTTGTCGTTCTAGAACGGGCGAAGCGTGTATAGCCTGCCAGCAGAGGTGTAGCAATGGTAAGTCCTTATTTCCTTACGTCCGTATTCTACACTCACAAATACATGGCTCAGTTGTGAAAGAGGCCCAAGATCCAGACTCTGCCGACGAATCTGACGAAGTTATCGCTTTCGATGACCAGCCGTTTGACTGGGTTGACACGGGAAGATGCATGCTATGAGTGGATCGACCGTCCTTGATCTGCTCCACAGCTTTCGTTTTGATCACCGTTTGCGGAAAATCGAGATCAGCATACTTGTATGAGTCAGCGAGAGAATATGTGCAGCCTCCGTCGAACTGCCACAGCTCAGCTGGTGGTGGTCGAGTTCTTGTCAATTACTTGCATAGAACACGGGCCAATAGCCAAGGGATATGTAGAGCCTCAGACCTGGGGTGATGTACTAAGTGCAGTGTTCTGCGAGAACAGGTTGACTATTCAACCAATTAGTTTTGTGTGAACTTGATCACAGGTAGTCTCAAACAACACGTTCTAAAATCCGTGGGTCTGGTGGGCAAAGTGGTTGTAGAATGGAGTTGAGATGGATCGAGTCGAGTTAAGTCTGAGGACGGAAAATTCTCGGGCCAGTGAGAATGTGGATCCCCTGAGTTACTGCCGAAGTGCATTGCCAACATGCCGCAGAGAGCTTGGACAATGGATGTCCACCATGCGGAGTGCCGCTGAGCGGGATTCGAATGTCCTGCAAATTGACTTCGCTCGGGTCTATAATGATGGTAGGTATAATGACATGGCAATTCTTCTACTAATGTGCTTACATCATAGCTGCCCGTTGTGAGATGGCGATGTCTGGTGGTCTCCCAAATACATTTCTTCAAACGACCTCTTAGGACTGCAACTTTCGAATTGTAACCCCCACCCAAACTTTCACACGAGGAATGTTTGACAATTAGATGTGTGGTTGTGTGTGGTTGTGTTTGCATAGATGAATGTACTTAATGTCCAACTTCGGCTTCTTCCAACCTGTGAACCTCTAACACATCATCATGTGCACAGTGCATGTCTCCGATATGTTAACCTTCCTAGATGTGTCCTGGAGTCATCCGGAATGTGCAGGTGACATCCTACTCTTCTCAAGGAGACCCAATCCCAGGCTGGTGCATGATGGTCTATAGATTAGTGAAGGTGTCAAAACTTGATGGATGCCCTTGCGTCTCTCTGTATGCGGTGCAAGAAGTCTGTCACCGCTCCAACACCCTAAAAGGTGAAAGGATGACCAAACCCTACATGGGACGACCCTCTATTTTCCTCCATCATGACACATTATTCGCAGAAATACAGAGTGCGAAGAAAACATGATGTACAACACAAATACAGCTATCCACTGCTACTGGAGTCAAGAATAATTATATAGTAGGGGCAGTTTGTGCTAATCATTCACAGCCCATGCTCGACCCTTCCCTGCATCTCGCCGCCTTTCTATTCCATAATGCCCGACAGCCTGCGAAGTTTTGCAGGACGCCTACTTGATGAAGTGCTGGTGTGAACAGGGTTTCTTTTCCCATTTCCTTCCTGTGCATCTGTGCCTGGCATAGTGTTCACAAATAGGTTGTGCCAGAAGACCAAGGGAGCAGTGGCAGGTTTGACACGGATGAAATGGTTGTTATTCTGATCCGTTGGGAGCCATGCAGATTTCCACTGACATTCCCCACATATCATCTGAACCATGTTCTCCATCCGGGACAGCCTGATGGTGTCTGTCATCAAGGAATTGCAATCTTCATTTGCACATGCTGAGAAGTTGTACCCGAACGCACGATGTGGGCTATGTTTGGTCACCCCCCCTACTCTCTACAGTGCGTCTCCCATCCGCATAGCAAGCATACACCACAGTGACTGTAGTGTGCTCCAGCACATCCGGATTGGTGACAAGCAAATCACAAAGGGACTTCCATACGTCCGTGCAGCCAAACACTGCAGCTGCACGAATGAATGCTAGCACTGTGGGTCCAACAAACCCAGGGAGGGTGGAGGATCCCCCAAATCCGATAACGAAATCAAATAGGTCCCTAAGACAGATTTCAGTGAAGTGCGTCAGGCAACATATAGATGGCCTCACGACTCCACCATTGCCAGCATTTCCTCAAATTCTGTTTTGGCCTGCATTGTGGGACCACGAGTGACGAGAAAAAGTCCGCGTCGACCTCCCCTCGCCTTGGGTGTGGTGTTGTACCATGGGGATTTTCCATTGATGGTTTTCTCTACAGTCTCATCTTCCCTTGCAGACAACGAGGCAGCCTTCATCGCTGTCATGAGTGGCTTACCCAGGTAAGTCTGTATAATCTCAGAGGCTGTGTTTTTGTTGGGCCTTGTTGTCCCAACCGGCATGCTGCAAGATACTGGTATATTCGTCTGAGCGGGTGTCCATGATGACAAATGTATTGCTGGGTGTGTCATTTAGGACACTCCTCATCACCCATTGCCCAACAGTTCCCAACTTCTGGACATCAAAATTATGATCTCCGGCCTTCATAGGGAGAGTCACTGTATGAAGCTATATTTGTGCACATTGGCAATGAGGGTGTGAAAAATGAGAATGGCTCACATTTCCAATATATCCTTTGTATTGATTTTCCAGGTCAATATTGATGAGGTCCTTGAGGTAATCATTGTTGCCCGAGGTAATGTGAACAACACACGCAGGCCACGCCTTCTTCGCCATCTTACCCATCCCATATCCTATGACTCTGTATGGAAGCCCTGTCTCCCCTCCACTCACTTTGGTCACACATAGGGGACACAGAAACACCCAACCCTTCCGGACCGACCGATAGCCAATGCAACCTGGACCATCTGGCCGTGTTTGGCGACATACAACTGCACCGCAGTTGACACATACATATGAAGATTTCGAGCTACAGGGGTCACAACACCAATGGCACCAAGTACCGAGTGGGTCAGTGCGAGAGGATGGCTTGCCTATCGATGCGATCGGAGTGTGGACCTTATCCGTTCCGAGATGCAAGGGAGTGCTGGTAAACGCAGACTGTTGAGTGGCAGCAGCCATATTACCCAGGTTGCACTGGCTAGGAGTTGAACTCGAGGCTCTGAGATGAATGCTAGGTAGACATATTTTGGGTGGCATGATAGAAAAACAAGATGGTTGAGCCATGGGAATGATTCTTGCTAAGGGTCCAAGTGGTGTGGAGTTTGTGGGTTGATAGCACATCAAACTCCGACCGGAGAATTCCATTAGCCATTTGACTCCAACATTAGTGGAGGGGACAGATGTCTGAATGGATATGCCTCCAAACCTGGGACTGCTTGATCACAAGCCTTAGACATTCAAATCCCACAGCAACCAGGTTTTGGTGGGTATTGTATGTCACTACTTGAGTTGTATGCAGTACTACAAACATGCATACGCCATATACAGTATGTTGCAGATGACTTGTTTTTTTAACAACCTTTGTTCCTTTAAGTATGTTTGACAAGTTCTCGCTTAGGAACAATCAGATGTGATTATATAATATTGTCCGTTGGACTCTTGGTAAGGTAGACAATATTGAAGTCTGACTACAATTGCAGACGGACAAACTCGACAATTTTCATAGTTGCTCAAGGTGATTTTTTGGGGGGGCCAAATTGAAGCCATATTTTAGCTCAGGGAGCCAAAAATACCGGTTTCTGGCAACCTGGTATCAGTCGGATCTTCCTCGGTTCCTTCGAACCACTTCAAACCCTGAGCAAACAAAGTCCGGACACTCTCACGTCGTTCATAGTGAAATGACCCCAGACTCTGCCCAACATCTTCACTTCAGGTTAATGTTGCAGCCATCACCGAGCAGTATATAATCCTCGACATCAACCGTGTATCCTCACTGCCCATGCCGACCCCCGCCCTCCACCACCTTCCACCAACGTCTTTTCTTCGTTAACATATCTCCTTAGTTACTTGACGCGGTGCTTCCTATTGCTGACGTGGCAGATAAACTTCGTTCGGATGTTGTGTTGAGAATGCGTTTCGATTAGCGTTTGGCAAATTGGGAGAGCTTTGTGCGCTACTTGCATCGACAGGGTCGAGAATTGTGGCGAGGATATCTATGCTACCCTCAGATGAAACAAGCACATTCGCCTCCTGTACGTGTGTAAATCAACTGATGTGCAGGCTCCGTCAGACAAGCTGATGGTGCATGCACATCAGGTAGTTCAACCCAGTCAGATTGAACAGATGGGCTCGTGGTACTGGGTGTGGGTCAGTGTTGGCTGGTTGTTTTCTTCATACAAACCCACCTTATATCTATGTCTGGACCATCCATGTTGCCTAGGTGTGTCACTCGGTGATCTGATAATGACTATTGTGCTAAGGTTGTCTTTGGATCCAGTTGCAATCAACATCAGGTAACCTGCAGCTTAGCACAACTCCCATACCATGCATGGTGCTATCATTGCATCACACGCCTGCTCACCGACCGCGTCCTCAGTGAATCGCGTGACACGGACCATACACGCCACTGAGAATTCGACCACTGGATACAAAGAAAGATCAGTTCACACGGAAGAAGAGGAGATTGGCGAGGAGCCGAGGATCGAGGACATTGAGTGGTAGACACGATGTCTAAAACGGTAGGACATGTGTTGTCTTTTTGGAGATATAAAAGCAGTGATCAGATGGTTCTGGCCTGTCCAATCGACAATCAATGAGGAAGGATCAGTCATTATGCGGAGGGACATGAGCAACAAATAGACCCGAGACTGTTTGTCGAATTTGGTTTGGTTGGTTGCTGACTGTGAGTACAACAAGTGTTGACCAGAAGGACAATGAACGGACAGACCAGAAAATTGCGGACCCAGGGTGTTCTGCCAGGACCGACTTCAAATGGTCCCAACGTTCTGGCAGAGTGTGAAAAAACGATTGACTGTTTGTCTTGCGATGACACAGCTGCCCTTGGTTATGCTCGGAATAAAATTTGCAGCGGAGTCACGTTTGATGTAGCTAATGAAATAAATAAAAAGGAAATCATCACAGGAACATAGCATTTGGTCCTCCCGCCCTGGCATGTCCACCAGGTCTTGACCTTCCCTTATTAGGAGAACGGGAAGGCAATCGTATATTTGAATAAATCCGTATCACACCGCCCTTGCCAGGGAGGCGTCTGCAAGATCGGGCATCATATCGGTTACATGGAACGACGGAATTGCAGGCACCGACGTTGGGGGAAACACCACCTTGCTAAAAAAAAACTTGGACAAATGAGCAACTAACTGCGTTGGGTTTGTTGCCTAGGCCGGTCAGCCAGGACTAATGAACTAATTCGCCTTGACAGGAGAAGGGCTTGTCATTGAATATGGGTCTGGATGACTCCATAACAACACTCCCTTGTCAGGGAGGTGTGCCACTCACTGGACTCCGACGTGAGAAGTGGAGAAAAGGTTGGACATTGAGCAAACAATTGACAGGATTAAGCCAAATATACCACCACACAACCACACATGAAGACTGCTGCGACCCGTCACAACACCAAACACAGACAAAACAGCGGGTATGTCCAGCGAGAATCGACAAGGCGGGGAGGGATACATATCGATAGACGTTGAAGCTATAGACTGTATCGACTTGTTTAGAAGTCTTTAGGAAACAAAACTGGCACTTTTCGAGACGGAAAGATAAAGAGCGAGACTTGATTGAATGAGAATCTCGCTTGGCTTAGATGAATTTATGCATCAAAAGGGATCTCGTTTGTCTGGAAGAATATACGTCTAATGCAATAGAATGAATATCGACGAGTATCGCTATGAACGGGTGCTATTCTTCTTCTCGAGGTGGCAATTATACCACTGAGTAGTTGTCCATCATCAACTTACTCGGTTCCAAATTGTCGACACAGAACGGGACGATGTTTTTTGTAGGGTATGGAACAACTAACTCAGGAGGATGTCGAGGGATGCTTGTCCAATGGATGCAAGTGCGAAGCCTGGCTATTGAGTTGTCGGAAACTGGACAGCATGATATTGCGGATGGTCTTCCCGCGCTAAGCCGAGACGGTCGTACCTTTCTCATCCTGGAAGTGCTGGTATGATACATTGATTCTTTGGGCCATATGTCCGGAACCTTCGTCGGAGGAAGAGACACTGTGGGAAGGTGATGATCGTGATTACAATGAATTTGCCACAACCGAGCTCGTGCAACTTTGAACTCTTGATATTGACCAGTGTGGTTCTACATGTAATTGGGAATCGTGCATGTATCACAGGAAGTTTTCTGTAGGATATCACAATTAGTATTCAGAGAAATATTTTCATGAACCATGGTGGTTATCTGGGACTGCGGACAGCCAATTGATTATATGCTGGAGTTCACTGATGTTGCGAGATCGTGTTAAACATCAGCCTCCGTTGATTTCGATGTTGTGTATCGCGCAATCTATTAAAGTTCGCTTTGGAGCGTCATATTACAGAGTCACAGTTGCAAGAGCGGGTAACATATATCAAACAAATGAATACATGAACACAGGCCCAGTCATGTCTGCCTGGATTGCTGCCCCTTGACAGGAGAAGATAACATGGTGCGCAGATGTCTGGATGACTCCAGAGAACACCTCCCTTGACAGGGGTCCACATCGCTAGACAACCAAACTCCACGACAATATGGTCGGAGATTGAGAAGTTACAGGAAAAAGTTGAACATTGAGGTAAATATATACAAATCCTAGGCGCCAAACAAAGCACCACACAACCACACAGGAAAATACACCGCAATAAGAAGTACAACCCAAGCAAGCACCGCCACCTCATAACCTCGAGCACAACATGTGTTGAAACCCAGTCTGTGCCAAATAGGGCAGAATCTGTTGAGATTCGCGCTCGAGAGACAGAACACATACTTGCACATCTCCGGACTAACAGCACATTTTCTATCAGATGGGGCAGTGCCCCATGTGCTCCCTTGTGCTTCTTTTGACATCGAGCATATCTAGATATATCTGCACATACCAGTATTGTCCTCACAGAATGTCCTTAAATACTCTCAGATACACTCTGATTGTTTTAGTGTGCATGCTCACGCTGTCCTAGTAGAATGTGCCAGAATAGTGTCAAATATGCTCTAGAGATTTAATACATGTTTGCACAGCACTACCATGCTCTCCTTTTGCCACCCGAACTCTACTTGCATAAAGGGGCTGCGGTAATTCCTGCCAGCGTGTAGATGCAGTATCATTGTCCTTGTCATGTACAGTATCTCCCCGCCTCTTAAATCCATCACTCCAGGAAGTTTCTTCTGTCGACGGAGGTTCGATTAATTTCAATGGGGAGCATGTATCTCATCCCACGCTTAAATCAAGCCATCCTCTGCATTGCAATTAGTAGTTGATGGGGATCATTTTACAGATAGTGGTCCTGCCACAGCTTCAATGTCAGCGCGTATCTGGTGTGTATTTTCTTGATTCATTTATTTTCACTTACTCTAATTCGGTCCTTCCTCCATCCCAACACTAACAAATGCAAGCGGTGTCCAACGCCTAAATCCAGAGACATCCAAACATTCGGTTTTGGAACAAGGCTAACCACCTCGAGTGGTTGGATGCTGAATTGACCATCGACGTGGAAAAGAGCAAGAGCAAGGGGCAAGGTGTGTCCTAGCCAAACCAAAAATGGACGGTGAATTTTTCTCTTTCGATTCGGGTGATACTGATCATTATCTACTAATATCAGGAACCCGTGCGCCTTATGTTAGCTGAAACAAACCAAGTTGAACGGCACAACCGAGGAGTTCAGTGCCCACTACAACTCCCTCACATCAACGCAACGCACGGTGCGGCTCTATACTACTCTCAACAAGGGCTGCGTCTACTAGGACACATCATACCACCATGATATTTTCCGTGTTCCTCAACGCATTTTCACTCTGATTTCTACTGCCTCTGCTCATCCAGGCCGCTCTACTCTCAGCATGTTTCCGATGTGTGCTCCACCTGTTTTCGACTCGTTTCATATCAATTTCGATTTTTTTTGCACCGGCTTTCAAATACCTATACGGCATAATACCCTCTGTGCAATTGGAGAAGAAAGTGGCGTTTTATCCATTACAAGCGGTGACCTTCGGTCGGTACTTTTTATTGCCATTGTCATGTCATTTCACCATAACTACAAAAGCAGACTTTTGTACGCTATTTTTGCACTATCTTTTTCCTCATTTGCTCTTGAAAATAAGCACAGCCTATCGACAATGCAGTTTATAGCTGAGAGCATGAGACCTTCACAACTATTAAAGCTATGTAGAGCTGTGATTCCTACTCATGCATTTATCACCAATTCCTTCTCGACCGAGAGGTTGCGTTGTATGACACATGCTGTTTATTTTGAGATGCAGTCGATGGGGAGAAATTCCGGGCCCAGTAACCCCATCACTTGTTTCGTGGGGAGAGAAAAGCACGATCGAGGCAAGCATGGGAATTCACCAGTTAGTACTATGTGTGGCGGGAGAAGAAAGCAAGTGCTTCGTCAGTCTCTGTCGACCGCCTGAAGCATCTTCGCCAATTTCATGGACAAACATCTAATGAACTGTGGGTTTCCAGATCTCCGGCAGTGCGAACGGGTATGTGCGCAATGAAAGCACATGCATAGCATGACACAAGTGAGATCCAGCCAGCGGTTAAGAAGTGGCAAGTGTGTGCGTCAGCGCTGCACAGCATGGCGGGGTGGACACGAACCACCGGAAATGCGTGCTTATATATGTTAGAAAGGTAGCACCCAAAAGAATGGTCAGATACATGTACAACATCAAACATAAACATCAGCTGCATTTTTTAATCGCACTACCAAAAGAACTGTAGGTCATTTAGAGATGATACACAAGGGTTACAAACAAGCAAAAACGAGTATCCTATCCAACAGGTAAATCATGAACATACGACAATCAATCCATGGAGGCAACATCAACTCTCATTGCCAATGCCTCTTCCTCTTCCTCTTGCAACGTCTTGAGCAAGGTGTTGAGTGTCTTCATGTCTGTACGACCAGGATGAAGCGTCTGCAGGACATCGTGTACTGTTTTTACATGGATAGGGGGGATGTCGGTCAACAATATGTTACGGAACTCATTGAACGAGATGCCATCGTAACCGAAAGCTTCAATGGCCCGTTGCACATTCGCCAAGGAGAATAGTGATTCTGGGATGAAGTTGTCGTTTCCTGTCGACCTGCCATCTTCCTCGCGTTCTGCAGTGAATTGCGAACCATCCTGATATTCAAAGATGGCGTCAGAAGTATGTTCAGGAGGGGTGTTCGGTGGTGTTGTTAACTGATCCCCCTGTTTCTCGCCAGCGTTCGAATGAACATGGCCATGTGAGCTAGCTGCAGACTGTTCGCTGTCCATAACAATATTGTCAGGACCATTTCCCCTTGATGCTGCCTCTGCATCATCTACTTCGATGTTGGATTGCATAGCTTTAGTAGGTGGTGGTGGTCGTGTGTCGGATGAAGGGCCGAGTGAGCATGGGTTTGCATCATCTGTATGACCGGTGAAAGTTGTCCCATCACCTACCATAAATAATGTACACAAATGTGAGGTGTGGGTACATACAGCACGCAAAAACCGTACCTTTGCGCCCATTAGGTTTGTCACTACGGTAATTATGTGCTGCCATCAGCACTGTAGTCACCGTTTCGGGTTGGGCATGTTCCAGAACCCAACCCCACACCTCGAGATCCGTGGCATCTGGCTTAGAAAATCGATTGATGCTCAGATAAAACATGTCGGCAGCGCTCTCGGGTTTGCTTGTCAAGTTGCGGAAGTAAGCTCGCAACGCAATCTTTGCATCCAAGTTGGAAAACGGGTTGTCAGGTTCGACACCATCTGTGAATCAGGGTATGGTATGCATCCCACAGAAGTGATAACGTCATGAATGCGCATACCTGAAACCATACTATTGACCCGCTGATCCAACTCCAAATCTAACTCCTCAGCCAGCAAATCACAGAAGTCGTTCCATGTTATCTCGCTGTCGATCAGCTGGTCCACACACGACGACCAATGTTGTTGTGTCTCGTCGGTGGCAAGCATATCCATAATTTCCCTCAGGAAGTCTCCACGTTCGATCTCCTCCTCGGCCCGCAAGCAATAGTAAAAAAAGACCAGAGGTTCATCGAGGGTGAATCCTGCAAGGCACCGCAAGAAATGTTAGTTCAGGCAGAGACCAGAAGTAATCTATTGCTGACCCTGGCGTAGAAACTCGTCCTTTCGTTGGCTGACGAATCGAATTGGAGGCTCATGGGACTCGTGCCACTTGTCTGGCAATTCCGCGTTTTCGTCGTATATGATGTCGGTTCCCTTACCTCCACTTTTGCACACCTCGAGTGCTCCATCTCTGGATTCCTTGAACATCTCCGAGAGGTCAAGGCCCTTGGACATCCATGCATTGTCCGTCCCGCCAAGCATCAGCTGGATATCGTCCATATTTACACCCCAGTCCGATTCTGAGGACATCACAAGTTAGTGCAGATGCACCCAAGCGCATCAGGAACGCCTACCGAAAAGCTTCTTGTTCCCCGCGTGCAACGGATCCGCCTGTAAATATATGTCCGCATCGTGTGGCAACTCATCGAACTCCAAGAAAAGCCAATCTCGGTGATTGCGAATCATGAACTCGTCGAGTGAATTAATCCGCTCATCATCATTCACACCGTTATCTATGCACTCCTCCAAAACGGTTCTCCTGGCAACCATAGCTTGAAGGAAACGTGCAGACGCATTCCTGCGAGCGATGTCAATCAGACCCTTTCTCTCCTCCTGGGCTTTTATATTTGTGTTCTTCGTCGTCCTCTGCTTCTTCTTCGACTCAACATCCCAACATTTCCATATGGCGAGCCAGTACTCGACACAATAGCAAAGATACACCCATGACGAGCTATATCTGGTGGGGAGGGGCACATAGCCGAGAAGCCGATGGTCCTTCACAACAGGAACCCGCAAACACTGCTCAGCGTTATCTCCTACACCATACTTCGTCAGTTCCGGAACACCGTAGTGGATCCTGTGAGGCGATCGTGCATTCCATTGGTCCATAGACAGCTCGGCCTTCGTGACAGGGATGCAGAAATCACTGATTGGTTTAGGAAGTGGTTTGATGATGACAGCAGGTTTTGCTGTGTTCATCGCACGACGCTGTACGTGGGATTGCAGAACCTTGCCAACTAGCTTTGACTGTTTGCGTGCTGTTCGCTTGGTGCGAGCCATTCAGTGAATGTAAGAACGAGTGGGGCAAAGCTGTTCTTGTAAGACTGACAATCGGAAAAGACATAAAATGCAAGCCTAGATGGCTTCAAAAACTCCGCCGGGAATCGCCGATATGTGTGGTTCAATTGTGCTCAAGAGTCAAGAGGTCCCTGACCGGGAAAAAGTGTGCACGAGGCCATCTCACACCGTTAAGACCTTCTTGCTTGGGATCACCTGCAAACCGTGAAAGAAACTCGTCGCTTGCACCTACAGGAATTCGGAGGTAATCCCTTTACTAACTTCCGCAGGTTCTGGACGAGCTGCAGTCTAAAACTACATGGTGCCATTTGCTAGCCCTTCCCCTGGAAGCATGATGGGGCTGGCATGTTCCAATGCATCAACGTTCATAACATCGTCATTGCACTGTAATAGCAACTTGTTCGCTTGCTGTCGTAGTAGTGAGTTTGGCGATTTTAGCCTCACCAGCACAAGTCACGGGCTGTCAAGCTTTTACAGGGCTAGTGACAACAGCTGATTTCACGCTTGCGCTTTTCGGCCGGAAAAAGAAGCGAGCATTCGATTGTTCTTATGTGTGCTGGTGTTTTTCCTATGCTCGAGACTCTCGGCATGAACCATCCAATTGTCCTCGCCTCCGAGGCCGATGTTTAAGTCCCATTTACAAGAGGAACAATTCCGAGAAGAACTGACATCCGGATAAAATTAAGTTCAGAAAGCCCTCATTCCCCGGAGAAAGAGATTTTCATACAGCTGGTTAGGACGCCTTTATTTTTCTTTGACATCGTGCTGTAGTGCTCAGGTTGTGTGTTTGTTTCTCGATCGAGTCTCAATCAGCTCGATTCTCGTCAGTCATCACTTTTTTGATGCTCAGATTGGTGTTTTATTACAACTACAACAGGAGCCGTTTTGACGCCTCCCAAGGTGACGCCAATAAGAACCTCCGGGGAACCCTCTCACCCCCTTCCTAATGTTCGGCATTTCTCGAGCGTGTACCTCTTGATTCCGCCTATTTAATTCCGTCGATTTTCAGTGGACTGTAGAAACTAGGACCACCAGGTGTGCATTTCTGATTAGAAAGAGAACAGTGTCAGTGCTGATCCAGCACCAGACTGATTCATAGATCACTTCACACAAAAGACGATGTGTCGATCATCGAAGATTGAAGGCTCTGGATGACAATCAGTGGGTCGAGCGATGAGGTGTCCTGCCTAGAGCTGTTGTATCATGGTGAGCCATGCAACCATCCTGACAGCAACTCGGGAAACTTAGGATTCCATGAGTCTTCCGGTAATAATATATATATGTATTGGCAGCTTTCAGTAGAATCCGACATTCATCGATATAGATTTCGATTTTTGTGACTTCAATGCAACATCGACCAGCATGCCATCAAATATCTTCTCGATCAGTACTTTGGTGTGGCCGCTAAGGGTTTCAGTACGCACGCTCTCATGGACCTGGCGCTTGTACAGCCTGATATAGGGACTACAATCAAGACTGATGGAGAGGAGAGCAGTCCATATGCATTCTTGAGCGTGTTAAATATCAGTGTGCACAACATGAGTTTCATTTGCCTCTTGTCTGGCGTTTTTCAGGCAAGGACTGCTGCCAGGACAACGTGTCGATAAAGTCGCTCATAAAGTACACTGGCAAAATCGAAGGGAGACAATACGTTCCATGAATCACTGTCGATGATACTGTGTGATCCGCAGTGTCCAAGTAGGACTCGTTCCGTATCCTCATGAATGAGCTCAAGGATGTAATTAAAGAGGTGAGTCGCTGATTCTTATAAAGTTCCTATACAAACCATGGTCCTTCTGGTCGTCCCTCTCAGAAGAAACCCTTCAATTTCACTAACCTGATTTTCATCTTACATGTATATGGAGGAGGAAGCGATGACTATCACCCAACGGCAACCAAGGAACACATCAAAAGACAGAAATATCAAAACTCGAATGGGAAAATGAATGACGAAAGCCTGGATGGAGTATATCCGTTCCGCCCAGAGGACAAGGAAATTTGAAGGGTGTGCCCCTGGATTGATGTGCTTTGGAATTGGTTTTACCTGGTCTCCTGGTTGGCCTATCATCTGGTTTTTCCATATTCGAACACCCAACCACGCAATGCAGAGTCATTTAGATTAAACACAGCTGGATGGTTGATGCTGCCAGTAGTACAACTCATAGAGCTGGTAAGAGTACTCAGAGATGTATTTCAGTCACCTGGAAATGTGTAAATCAGGGGCATGCAGACATTTCCCCCTCATTAGGTCGACGCAGATTTGTGAAAACAATAACACGTAGAAAAGAGATGTAGAGATGTCACTTTTAAAGGTAAGTTTTATGTAAACCCGGTGTTGTACAATGTTTTCTATGAGAAAAGGCAGAGAGCCCACGAACCATTTTGGAATATGTAGGCAGACATGCTTCCACACAAAAAAAAAACCAGCATTCCTTATCCTCTATGGTATGTACTCACTACAGTCCTTTCCCAACTCCTTGAAAATCGAAAAATACACAGCTGCTTCCTCAACACGAGTCTGACGCTGAAGCTGGGCTGCATGCCATGCTTCAGGGCTCTGCTGCTTAAAAGCCTTTTCTGTGCGGAATCCATATTCAACCCATCTGATGAGACCCCCTGAAAAATATTGAGTAAAAGATAACCTTTTCTCCCGCGGAGCAATAGAGATGTTGCCATGTCGGAGGATTGCAGAGGGGATCAGGATGGTGGCACCCGGTGGAAATTGGATGATGAGTCCAAGGTCAAATAGAACCAAGTGACCACCGGTGGTTGGGTCGAAATTTCCTAACGCAGTAATGCTACACATCCCACTGGCGAAATTTCCATTGTCGGTGTGATCAAATGTGACAGTGGCGGGTCCAAGATTGAACGTGGTAGCAGCAAAAACACTGTTATGAAAATTCCATGTGAGATGTGGATGCATGCTCTTGAGAGATGATTTGGTGTTGGCATACACCTTATGGACCTTGGGCGCGTAATGACAAAGTATGCCTTTTCAAATGAATAAACACACACAGGACAGAAGGTTAGTACTCACTACTGCCAAAACCTGCCAACCTTTGAATGGCTGGTTCAGACAGAAGTGTCCGAAGCTCCTGTTGGTTTGTCTTGGAGTGTTGAAGATTACCGGGCTCCTATGTGAGTTTCTGTCTGTTAGTGCGGGCGGCCTGAATGTGATCGATAAAATACCTGTTGACCACCCCCATATGATACTCCAACGCCAAGGCATGGATAGAGGCCTCGCCGGTGATGGGTATCAGATAACTTGAAGGTGCAACGCTCCCGTGCATTCTCCATTGCAGCGCAGGCTTGAGATATTGTAAGCTCCCAGTCATCATCCCGAGGTTGGCCAGCTAGGACTCCGATTACCCTTCCGTTCTTATCCAGTAGTGTTTGGGGGGATCTGTTATAAGTCAGCCCATGATCCTGCATGGAATCTGCCTGGAACACACCTTCCATCCCACTCCACTAAGCAAAATCCTTTGTCAAGTAGCGTCTGCAGTTCTTGCACTCCGTCGACACTCTCAACTCGTTTTCCAACATATGCTCCATTCGCTATAGGCAACCCCTGCAACGAGATTGGTGTGGGCATAGGATGTTTGAGGACTCGCTTGGAGGTCAATTTAAGTATAGGTACATATGCGTTGGCAGCCTTTTCTTGCCTCTTCCGTCGACGACGTGAATTGCTGCCTTTCTTTTTATGGGAGACACCCTTCGCCTGGACAATTCGTTGTTTTCCGTTGCTAGCATGTGTATGAGTGTAGTCGTCGACTAGATTGGTGTTGCATGTGTTGGAGGGCAAATAATCTTGATCAATTGCTTCGTGGACGACCATCTCTGGCTTGGGGTCCTTAGTTATCCCATGAGTGAGTGCATCCTGCCGCTCAAAGGCTCTGCTCAGAAGAGGAAGTAAATCTTGGTTAGTATGCAAGGAAACTGTGTGCATGTTGTCAGAATGTTGAGTCTGTGTTGTATCAGTAGATGACACCAGTCTCATTTGCATAAAAACACACCGTCAAGTTGTGGTCCTGTGTCTTCCTAAATGAGTTGCTAAGTCTGTTTACTGGGGAAATGTACGATTAGCTAATGTACATTCTAGAAATGACCAGCGAGCCGGAGAATCCCGGGTCTCAAATGCAGTCACAACCACAGTGTGAAGTCCCGCCCGTCACATCATGCCTCCACCCGCCGCCACCAGGTGCTGCATATTAACGCATGGGCCATATGCATTACGTCCCTCTTTCCTGCCATGTACTCGACATACTACCCCCTCCATCAACGAGTTTCTGGCTGAAAGAGTTGCTATTTCCGAAGATGACGTTGATGTCCTTGATACGAAATGCAGTCATTTTCCTCCCATTCGGGTCACACTCTTCATTGCTGTTGCAGAGTGCTTCATCGAACGACATCATAGTAATGGTGCAACTAGACCAAGTCATTGTTATGCAAAAACATCGTGTACAACATCGAAATTCCTCACTCTACCATAATACCAGAAGCACATCGGATGATCTCCTCAACCCTACATACTGAAAGGCAAATCCACAGAAATCTCCAATGAGACAGCGCATTTTTGGATCAGTCATTTTGTAGTATCTTGTCTTTTCTCAACTGTTGTTTCTAACACACCAGTAATCAATCATTAGTACTACGGAGTCAAAGAGCCATCTGCTCCGGTCTACGATTCGGAGAGCATCATAAAGCCCAAACGCGACCATATACAAGCCCCGCCGGCTGTCCCTGATGTCTCCGCTGCTGTCTATGATCCAGAGAGCATTACAGAGTCCGAAAACGAAACAGATGCACGTAGCCTTGCACAAAAAGCCCCACATTCCGTCCCTTACGTCCTTTTTCCTGTCTATGATTCGGAGAGCATTACGGAGCCTGAAAGCGGACAAGATGTACCTACAAAAACCTTGCCTGCTATTCGAGCAGCATTGGCTTCATGGGGTCAGGTGGCATTAGGAGACTTTTCCCGTGGTCTCAACAAGACGGAATAATTGAGTTGATTTGACACCGGCATGAGGCTTGTTGGGAAAGATTAGCGTAGAAGGAAAAAAATACAGAGACGGATTGCTTGAGTTAAATTGCTAATTTTTCAGTCCATCGGTCACTGTGATGAACGGATCAGCGATCCATTGTTAGCTGTCTTGGGTCAAAGATGTACCGCAGCCGCCACTGTGAGGATGTCATGCAAGACCAGATGTCGTTCTATTGAGGTAATAATACTGCGGGAGGATAGAAAGATTGATGCATAAAAAGATCGCTCTCCATGGTGAATACAGAGCCAAGCGATTCCTGGAATGTCTTCTCTTGTGTCCCATGCACGTTGACTTTCCCAAAAAATCCATCACACCCCTGTATTTCGTTGGTCCACTAGAAGAATCGACTTTGATCAAGATCCTCTCGCTCTGCAACGGTGTCGCACTACTTGCTCTATTGGTTGCGACAGATGCATTCATCAAAGATGAATCATCACTTTCTACGAACGGCGGGAAGTGCATGGATGAATCTGAATCCAACTTACGTGTGCGCCCTTCTTCGAACCTCGCTATTGTCGGTTGTGTACATTGTTATACTAGTATTCGAGCTACATCTCAATTGCTCCGCTGTGTGGATGACTGCAACATTGTCAATATTAATACTAACATTTCTATCTATCAACATAGTATCAAGCAGTAATCTACAGCCACTTAAACATTATCATCCTCATCCACAGTGCCTTCCTCTTCCAACTTCCGAAGAGTGTTCCGGATAGCTGACATTTCACGGGGTTTCAGCGAGCGACAGATTGCGGAGCACTCGTGAGAATCGACAAGATCACGGATACCCTCGAAGCCATGATCTCCGAGTCCAGATTCACTGTATCAACACACTAGAGTTAGGGCAGCAATACATCATAATTATGGAACATACCCAAGGGGAGTATGAGTCATGGGATCAAACATTGTCAGAACAGAATCAGTATCATGCAAGATGCCATGGTCAATGTAACTTGGATAGGATACAGACAATGAGTTGCAAGAGAAATAGAACTGCGTCATACATACCATGCAGGTCTGCAAACATATACTCGCATGCAGAACTCTCCAAGACGAATGGCTAAAAGCCATGATGGTTGCGGACCGTTTATCAGTGCGGTTGCGCACTCCAAGAGTCCCGGAAAATTTGAGAACAGCAGAAGAAACTCGGCGAGGCTCAACTAGATAAATTGAAGTTGGCTGATGCGTAGGGATAATATCTTCGCTAATTGGAGTCTGAAGTTCCGCTTCGACATCGACAACTTGGCCTGCATCGGAGTAGGTCTTGATAATAAAGCCATCAGAAACCTGAAACACTAAAGATTGTTAGGTCGATTGTTGATTTCTAAATTGTCCAAATAAACTTACCTGCAGTGTCGACACCTTCCTGAATGACTCGCTGTGTAAATTTGGCTTCGAAATAGCTTAACCTTTTGAGCCGGATCAGATCAGCTGCATCTCGACCAACAAAAATGGCCTGACGTATACTGTGACCTTCACCATCCCGTTTCCAACGCCAAAACCCTTCGATTGGTGTGTTGTGTTTGCTCTGCACTTGTCTTGATGCAGGCCATTGATCTAGAGTGAACTCGGGAGCAGCATGCAGACTGACGAATACAGATGTTAACATTTGCATAAATGGTACAAAAAAATCCGTACCGCAAGCGCTCCTGGCAACGGACCATGTCGCCAACCTCAGAACCCTTATCTGTTGTAAGTTAGATCTGTGCACCTAGTAGGACCACACTGGTGAGTATGAATGTTGGTTGCGGAGAAAAGCACACGCACAGCCATACTCCTCAACGAGATCAAGAAATACATGTCCAATGATATTTGAAAGTCTCACATTAGGCAAGCAACGCATGTAAGGAACGAAAGTTGAGAACTGATCCTTGAATGCATAAATTGGCAAAGTTACATCTCCCATCTTCAGAGCCTGAGCAGAAAGCTTCTCATGGCCATCTGCATGTTGCTGATGCCATGGCCCAATGCAGTCTAATGGTACACGATCAATTGCATCTTTCGACCCCACAAATCGTGCGTCAAACTCGGCATCAAAGTGATCATGAAGTATCTGCCTGACTTCATCACTGTTAAATTTAGCATAGTTGATTTTGTAAATAGTATGGAGAAATATTACAAAGCTTACCGCTTCACCAAGGTGCCTTGGTTGGCTAACGTTTGACAAACTTGTGCGACACCCCATTTCCCAGGGAGATCGTGGCATCTGGCATCAATGACAGCCTGTGTCCGCTCCTCGGTTGTAGTGCTGACATTTTTCCGTATGCTCTCGATACCCAGTTGCTTTCTGATCTGAAAAAGTTTTCGTTGTCTTTGTGACTTCCATCAGACTCGTTGAAAATTTTCAATGAACTCATACTCACTTGATTTGAAGACCGAACTCCTTTTCTATGCGAACTATTTGTTCTTCTGCAGTCAAGCCAGACCCATTCTTCTCATGGCTATATTGCTGGAATGCAGTGCGAAAAGCATCGTCTTCGGGATCTGTGGAATTCCGAAAGTTTGTCAGTTGAAGTGCAATGTCACCAAATAACATATTTTGTACTACATACAGTCCTTCTTACCCCATTGATTATTGCCTTCGACGTTTGGCATTCATATTGACAATGTTGCAGTCGTACACGCAGCGGAGCAGTTGAGATGTAGCTCGAATACTAGTATAACAATGTACACAACTGACAACAGCGAGGTTCAAAGAAGGCCGCACACGCAAGTTGGATTCAGATTCATCCATGCACTTCCCGCCATTCGTACACTGTCAGGCAATAACAAAACAATTTATAGTGCAGGCATGAGCTGAGTGATGGTATTGTGTTGGAGCTTCATCGTTTCATTATGCTGTTACACATGCACATTTATTATGTCCCTTCCGCGTCTTGCGCACTGTGCCCTTTGCTAAAGAAAACTGTCAAAAGTTTGTCAATGGAAGACTGGCGGGTTGTGTGGAGAGCATCCGTTTCTGCACGCTATGCTCGCAATGCCTACTTACAACCGTTCGGCTGCAAGATGGTAGAAGAAGTCATCAAAGGGTAAGGTGTAGGTAGGGTGCGGGAATCAAGGTGCAGGAGGTAGAGGTTGGCTGGTAATATGGAGGTGCTATTCATACCAAAAGGCTTACTAGAAAGTATCTTATAGTTGTCCTATGCAGTAATTCAATTAAAATAAGCACGGGTGAGCCGCTAGACTGCAAATTAGAGAATCGTGAATGTACGGTACATAGATCAACCGGAAGTGCCCTTGCTGTTGCACTTGGCAGTCCGAAATTCCGTTGCAGTACCAAGCGCTATCGGTGAATGGTGGACGGCATCTTCCATGCCATCGCATATAGGACACCCAAGATCGATGGCACTGCGGTGACAATTTAATGTTTGAGCTTGTCGTCAGGGCTAAGCATCCAAGGGGCTCTTAATTCTGAATGGTAACACTGGAATGTATATATTCCCGTTACCTACTAAGTGGTAATATAAGTGCTGCTTAGTACCTCTGTACTTCAACAGTGCCGGAAGGAAACAGTTCTCTGTCTATTCATTGGTGATGTATATTGTAGCTGGACGAACAGTGCCATTGTCCTATTTGATTCATGTGCTAGGCGTTCTCAAGCATTTTAATTCCATCTCTCATCGCTTGAATGCATTGCTGCTTCGCGCTCTCCTCCTGAGCCCCGCGCTCCATGAGCTGCTCAATTTTCATCCTCTGTCTCCCCATTTCCATCTGAAGAGGTTTGATTTCATCATACAGCTCGTCAATGAGAGCCATGTGGTACATGAATTCTTCATCGAGTTCCATTACTTCAACGTTGCCTTTCGGTTCAACCCTTGTCAATTCCTCTCTGTCTCGAATCCTAGCCTCCTCCAGGCATTTGACACGCTCCAGCAAGGATTCGATCGTCTTCCGGAACTCGTGCGCGGATTCATCAGAACCAAAGTCCTGCCTATCCTGGAATTCATGTGAGACAATGGTTTGCGAAGTGTAATTGTAACATACCTGGCAAGGTCGTGGAATCTCGTAGGAACGACGACTCCTGTGCCTTTTCTTTAGAGGGGCAAGTCCGAGAGCTTCACCCGATTTGCTTGTGTGGTGGAACATGGTGAATAATGATGTCAATAGATAAACGAATGGGTAAAGAGAGGAACTCCAACGTACAGTACTTTTAAGTGCTTTGGCATTGGATCCGTTCAGGTAACAAACAAAAACAAATCACACGCATACGCACACACGCACACACAGACTGATCCCCATCAAGGAAGAGTAGCCTACAGTATAAATTGTGTGTTTTACCATTTTATTCCCCTAATTATTTCCTTTGCAAGCATTGTTAAACACCCCCCTCCGAATCCGCTGCTTTTACCTTGCTCAGCTATTTCCATCAACAACATTTCTCTCATCACCAGGCCCTCAGCAGCTGAAACTCTCCTCACTGCTACCATTGCGATAGTCCATCTGAATCTCACAACACGCATTACCAAGCTTGAGGAGGAACAGCGGGAGATTCTCAACAAAGTTTCGGTAACAAAGAGGCTGGCTGCGAAGTACATTTTAAACAGGATAGCACTGGAGGAGAATGTCCAGAAGATGGTGGATTTATTTAAAGAGCGAAAGCAATGGCATAGTGGAAATCTTGACCATGTTGTCTAGAAGTGGAGATCAGAACTTAAAGATCTGCTTCACCGTTGCCGAGAGCATAGGGAGGACAAAATGAGGGAGACGCTCTTGCACAATGTACTCTCAGACCATGTTGACACACTACAGGATATAGATATGAATCATTATCATTAGATAGCATACCATAACATCCCAACATTTCCATGTGCTGGCAAATATTGATGTACCATTTTGAACGCCCCAGCTTCACCACTTCCCCAGTGTGTGACGTCTGAGGGAGCACTATGCTTCTATACCTTCCAAACATACTAAATCTCTATTAGGCAAAGACCTGACTTCCTGTGCCTCATTGCCTGACGAACCTCAAACCGCATACAAACCAGTCGGATTATGCGCCATACGAAAACACTCTTAGATATGATGTAAGTATCACTACTAAGAAGGTGGATAATTGAGGTTTTAGTGCAATGAACTAGTAACGGTGCCCAGTAAGTGTAAACGTTGCATCTTGGAGGAAGTTCCGCATTCGAATGGTGTGTTTCATCTTTCCTGGACTTCAAGGACCGCACAGCATGCGTGTTTTGAACAGTCAGTATACCCAGAAGCCAGCTTCAAGTCCAAGGTTTGATGTAAAGTGCTGAGGCCTCGAGAAGGTGATCAAATCAAGAAAGTTACATCCACAGACATCATTACGGCTCACAGAGACTGTCCCAAATATCGTGAGATTTGCAGAAAAGACATTGCCTATACATTCGTTGCACATTACAAAGCAGTGGTTTGGCGTCCGGGCCAAAAATCCACGGGTTCGTGATTCTCCCATTGAAGGCAGATGTTGATGGCCCTGTGACAATTTCCTTGCTGGTTATGTTTTCTGTTCTTATGTTTAATTTGCACTCTAGCGATTCGGCCGTGCTTATTTTAATTGAATTACTGCACGGGACAACTATCAGATACTTTCTAGTAAGCCTTTTGTTGTGAATAGGGGCAATTGAATATATTACTGTGTACTAGCTCTCGTTTAGCTTGAGTTCGCTTCCCGTAGTAATAATCAGATGTCGCCAGATGGACGATTCTTCTTCCCTCCAGAAGAACTCATTCCTTCTCGCTTGTAATACATAGCATAGTGCCTCACAATTCGCGACCTTAACCAACTCTACGTGCCCAAACTCTAATACATGGTAAATTAACTCGCAATAAGTGCTCGAAGTCGTCAAAGTTACAATGGTCGCTGAAGTCCTCAACTTCCAAATATGGATGTCTCGTAAGATGTCGTAAAAGTCTGACCACAGAGCCCAAACTTTAAGCAACATCATCATTAACCACCGACTGTTGTTTGTGGTTTGTGGACGGCCTCATTGTCGATATATGCCTCATCCGTACGCCAGTTTTTTCAAACCAATCTCTTGCACTCCCTTTACTCCAACACCGTGTCTTTGGCTTCTACTTGGAAATTCCAGTTAGTCGCACTAGCACGCTTCTCAACTCGACACCTGTGTTGCAATTCAATACATTGTGATGTCCCGACACAACGCAGAGTCTTCCAGCGCTCTCCCCCAACATCCAAGTCTGCCCGCCATTCCCACAGGCCCGCCACCCCCCCCCGCCCGCACCTCCATCGATGTAAGTAGCGAAGCTCCCCAACACCACCAACACACTCACGTCTAGCACAGATCATGCTCCAAAGACAGAAACTATTTCTATTTGAAGGAAGTAGACTCGATCCTTTTCTCAGCCACGCAAACCGTGTGCCCGTTCCCCTCGGAGGTCAAACCGGATTTCACTCACGAAGATCCCGACCCCGAAAATATATTCGACTTGCGATTCGACCTGTCTCGCTATATACAGGTCGCAGCTACACCAGACGACTCAGAACTCAAGTACACAGGACCGCTCTTCCAGCGCCTCGCCACCATTCAAATAGCCAGTTCTGGATCAACCCACTCCCTCTCCGGTGAACAAAAAGCCAGCTGGAAATGGCTCGAGAACACCCTACATCACGCCGCGTCCGCATTCAGCATAGACTCTCTGCTCCCTTTGGACTTCTCCATGTTACCCCTTCCCTCTTCCTACGGCTACCTTCGCAACCACAAGAAGGCCTCCCATGCTCTCAGATGCGCCCAGAGATCAAGATTAGCTTTCCACAGTCTTGTAGGGCTGGTAAACCTGTTTTACGGGCGCGCTCTAGTACGACACGAAACCGCCAGCCATGCTGACCCTCGATCCCCACCCTCCCCCTCTCACACTCTCATCCAATCCGGTCTCAGTGATACACACGTATGTGATATCATCGATGCGCTAAAACCGGAGATGCTAGGGAGATGCGTTGGCGTTGTGCTCGACCCCAGATCCTCTGCTTTGGGCATCCTATTTCCTTATCTCAACCGCATACGTGCCCCCGTCTGGGTCAGGATAGGAACGGCGAAAGGCATATTTTATGCAGATACCTTAAATTATCCAAGCTTTAAACTCGCCATTCCTCAAGGAGAAGAAGAGCTTCGCATCCGTGCCATGATCAATAAAACAATCGCAGAAGACTTCAGACCGAGCCCCTCCAACCCCCACCCCGACAGTCTTCACCAATGGGACGCACTTATTGAAGCCCGAAAACCCAAGCGTGAGGAATTTTTATCACGAGCCTCCGACAGCATAAAGGAACGAGTCAAGAAAAGGCTCCAAGACGCTGTCAATTTCATCATACCCACCCGACGGGATGGAACGAGATTCTTCATGTGGTATCGTTCGAAACAAGGGAGGTTCCGCGGAGAGCTCGACTACGAAGATGCGAAGAATGAATTCGAGACCAGACGACGGGAGCAGTTCGTATACGACGAAATCTCAAACCAATGGGATATTTGTTCGCTATTCGACAAGGATCGAGATGTAGAACATGATGACGTTGCATTCGACCAACCCATCCAGGAGCTCGATAACACGCCAACTCCACAACTAAACAACCCTCCTACCCTTTCGTCGGACCACAATGAGTTGGGAAGAACGGTGGTGCACCAAACACCCATTGGGCAGGATATGTTGTTTGGCACCCTCGCTGGAAGATGTCCTATACAGCCGTTATGGACTTCTCTGCAGCACGCAGTCCGAAATACAGTCTGCAACAGACTTTATACATGTCGAGGAATCTCAAATCGTCGATGCTTACACCATTCGCAAATACATAATGGAAGTCAACCTCCGCTTGGAACATCGCAGCAACGAATTTGCCATCCGATACTTCATCTCCTCCCTTATACTCGAACTTGAACCACCTTCGCTCTTATGGGATTTACATCCCGACCATGCTCGCGAACTGCTTACACGCAACGTGCATTTCAAGGTCGAGCAGGTGAAGGACAGCACCCTACCTGGCTACCTGCTGCTCCCACTCGTCCCGAAATACGCTCGAACTTGGAACCTGTTCGTCGCAAATGCCACTTCCGTTGTTCAATGCATCAGAGAAGAGTGGGGGCCATCCTTAGAGGATGTCATCCTCTGCTTGTTCGAGCGCGGTATCCCGTTCAAGCTCCTTTTCAAGGTCGCATACCCTTCCATGCCCCGTCCCATAACTGTATTCGAGTCCAACCGGCGTCCTCATGGCTGGACACCCGACAAGTACGAATACATAGACTATGAACTTCGCCGGAATCGTTTGTTAAGATTACCGCATGTAAGAGTCGCCGTTGCCCAAGCCGGAGGAATTCTCTGGCGTCTATGCAAACAAGAGCTGGCCAGCGAGATACCCAACGGACCTTCACCCGACGTCCTCTATTTTGCGGATACATCTCAAGACAGATCCCACACCTATCTCTTCGATACCCTGACCAAGCATGAGATTGAGATACTCTGCGGGATATATTACGTCGACACAGGTACGCCTTCTCCTACTCCCATGATGCATCCGGGTTAACATCTCATTCACAGACAGACGCGATCAAACTACTACATTGGCATGGTGGCCAAGTCCTCAGTTGTGGGATTCGTCGGGTTTGGACACAGGATACTGGACGCTTTCCTGCGAACAAATGTTCCAGGGTAGGTTGGAAAAAATACGGGCCGGAGCTGCGGCCTTGCTTACTACCAGGAAATGGAGGTCAGAACTGAAGTTCTACAAGGGCCAGACCAAGAAAATACATGCCCGCATTGAGAAAGAATGTCGTCAACTGCTTAGCTGAATCACCCTATGTATACCAACAGTAATTCTATCACCGAGCTGGCCTCAATGAATATGTGTATCAAATAGGCATTGCCACATTCCGTAGACTTTCTCAGCATTATCTTGCACATTATCAAAGACATTTATCGATACAAACGCTGGCGTCTTATTTCAAACATAATCGTGAAACATCTAGTAGCGTTGGGTTGACCCAGGTGTTGAAAATGAAAGTGTAGATACCAGACAAAGCCCTCGATATGTGAAAACGCGCAGTGCAGGGGGACAGCGCACAGGGGTGCGGAATGCGCAAATATAATACCAAGTATCTACCTACAAGCGGGACGGACCTGCACGACTTGGAGGACATGATTTAGACATCGACTAAGATTTTGAGGACTTCGACATGATTTAGACATCGACTACGATTTGGGGACTTCCAAGACTTTGAGGACATGATATATATTTCGAATACCACTTTGAGGACTTCCAAGACTTTGAGGACATGATAGTGTGTTTCGAATACCACTTTGAGGACTTCCAAGACTTTGAGGACATGATGTGTGTTTCGAATACCACTTTGAGGACTTCCAAGACTTTGAGGACATGATATATATTTCGAATACCACTTTGAGGACTTCCAAGACTTTGAGGACATGATGTGTGTTTCGAATACCACTTTGAGGACTTCCAAGACTTTGAGGACATGATGTGTGTTTCGAATACCACTTTGAGGACTTCCAAGACTTTGAGGACATGATATATATTTCGAATACCACTTTGAGGACTTCCAAGACTTTGAGGACATGATATATATTTCGAATACCACTTTGAGGACTTCCAAGACTTTGAGGACATGATATATATTTCGAATACCACTTTGAGAACTTCCAAGACTTTGAAAACATGATTTAGATTTCGACTACGACTTTGAGGACTTCGAGGACCTACTACATTCACGTCATGCTTACCAAGTTTCTAGCTACGAGTGGAATTCCTATCATAAAACACTTCTGACATCCTCAGCCGTCCACTCCTGATTGAAGCCCACAGTGGTGCGGAGTTCTTACGAAAAAATATTACATAAATTCTAGTCTGACGCTGTTAAAACCGCAATCGAATTCACTTAAGACTCTCATCTCATCCTAAACTCGACGCATTAACTACCCTCTCCCAACTCGTTCCAAAAACACGTCTGGCATTATCTTAACGAGGAAATTCCTCGTTGAAATAACATGGTACAGCTCGAGCAAACTGGAAAGAAGCCAAGGCTTCAGCACTCCGATCTCGCCAATTCAGCCTTAACTCCCGAGGAAAAGCAACGCGAACGGCAAAAAAGATGGGTCGCCAATGAGAAACGCGATCCACACAGGGCTCAAGAGATGAAGGAACAGAACACCGCCAACAAACGGGCATGGCGAAAACGCAAGAGAGAGGAAATGCAGAGCAAACAGCTCACGCCCAACACAAACTCCCAAAGCCACGCCCCTCAAAAGCGGCCTCGGACCTCATCTCCTGAAGCGCCTTCGGGTCATGTGGGCCCATCCATCTCAGAACCCGACACCATCCCCATCGGCCCCATCCTCCTGGCACAGGAGACCCTCACAACCATTGTGACACCCCGCCCAATGCGCGACATCGCCGTCATGACAGACACGCCCAGCCCTCCCGTCAATTGTTCCTCTATTCCAGATGACCAAGCATACCCCTCACCCACCTTGTCTGCACTCACCGACCTAGAGTTCCGTGATCTGGCAAATCCTATCATTGGCTCCCAAGTCCATGAACAATCAGATACCGTTCAATGGGACGATGGATCTACCACTGTGCTTCCCTGCATCATGAAGAACGGCATAAATATATGCGAAGAAGACGCCCTTGCAGTATCGTTTTTTGCTTCACTCCCAGAATCGCTTCCCGCGACCTCGAAAAACGTCGTCCACTTACAGCATAGCGATCGGCGCTTTACAAGCCGACAGTTATGCGACGAGATATCCGCAGCGCTTCGCATCAACAAAGCCGTTGTCATTCGGCAAGTGAGCACACCCGAGCCTGCAACGCTTGATTTAGAGTACCTGGAAGATCGCGGAATGTCAGACCTCATGCGTGTCGTAGTACACGGTGAGTCTGTCGACATCCATCTTGTTTCTCACCTAATGTAATGCTGCTAAACAGACGCTGAACAACGCACGAAGGATTTTACGTATCCCCACCAGAACGCAACGCTTGCAGAATTCATACGCAACATACACGACCCCAACAAGATACAATGTATACTCGACGTTCCATATGGACAGGGCGGTCTCCCGTCATATCTGAGGTGCGTACCGTACCATCGCACGCCGTTACAATACTAACCCGTCCACGCCTAGTACTCTCGACAGTGGCATTACCAACGGATGGAATCAAACCACAGTCGATTGCCCCATCGGTGACAAAGTCCATCCGGACAACTTCATCGTACATTCGTGGTCTTTGCTCCACGGGCCCGCGTATTGGACAAATCCCCACCACGACTCTGATGGCAGCGTGACCTTTGTTCAAATTGAAACCGGCGAGAAAAAATGGGGCCTATTCAAACCAATCCACGAGGACACGATTACTCGGACCAACCTCTCCAACATAGCCTTAACATTGACCGATCTCTACCGAAACCGAGAGAATATCCAGGAAAATTGGCACGGAGAAATTGTCACTCTCTTGCCGGGTGACATGCTGTGAGTGCATCGTGATATTATATTTATATCGATTTGGACTTATATTTGGGAGTATACAACCGGCAGGACAGTTTCACGCGGTTTACACACCTGTGGCTTCGTTTGCTACCGGGGGGCATTTCTACAACTACGAATGCATGCATTTAACGGAACTCTCTCGTTACATAGACCATAAACAAGGCAAAATCCTCACTAACCAAGTACACGCACACTCCCTCGAAACGTTCCAGCGAATGGTCATCAACTTACCACGCATATCGCGTCGCGTTAGTAAGTCTATTCCTTACCCGCATGAAGTCGCAGGCTTGTAATGCCATCTCCAGAGTTATACAACAGGCCCCTCATCGCCCTGTGCACTATGGTCTTGGAATGCGATAAATATGTGGCTGCCGGCACCGAAAAACCAAAAGTACGATCGAGCACCACTCAACCAGCGCACGATATTGCAAACGCCATCATCAAACATTTCTGGAAGGACTTGAAGACGGCAACCAAGACATATCGCAAGAAGCAGACGGACGGGAGCAACAACCAAATGCATCCAGGGGAACCCATCAGTAGAGAAGAACTATTGACCTGCCTAAAGCGCTTTACGACATTGTAATGTTGTCTGATTCATTTACGTACCTCCAATCTCAGAGACTTCATATACCCACACTCCTACAATACTGTAACATCGATTTGACTTCTGTCGCTTAGAGGACTCTATGGACGTTCGGACTTTGGCGCATCCAGCGATCTCCTGGACTCGTGCTTGTTTAAGTAGTGCTCTCCATTCATACGTAACATTAGCATAGATATAGATATGGCCACTGAGTTAAACCTCAATGTTGCATTTCGCAATGCCTGCCTAAGTACAAATATCGACTTGTTAAACGAGTCAGACATGACTCATATGTCGGGTTAGTTCCGAGGGCAGCACGAAATTACATTGCCTAGATATGGTATCAGATGGGCATCATTCTCCACTTAAATTGGTGGGATTCACACATTTCCCAAACGCTGCGTATATCATATTTATCGCCACTATTTGGAAACATCCTCAGGCTGTAAGGCGTTGTACCTAGATGGGTACACGGGAGTATTTACTATATATGGTCATGGAAAGAGCAACTCCGATGCTCAACACTCGCATGTAATGGATGCTACACTCATTAGCCACCCTTTTAAGACCTTTTCCTCGTAATTCGAGGAATATGTCTCCCGGCCAAATATGCACATCGAATACTGTCTCGAAGCTCTGGTATCCATGAAAGGATTTTTGCCAGACAAGTCGCTGCCTGCCGTTGCCTCGCTGCCAAGTTGATGGCAGAAAAGTTCGGCTCCGTGTAGACTTCTTTTTTCTCAATGCTGCTCGTAATTCTGTCGTCATCGTGTATTAAGAGACTGTAACGATGAAACAGAAAATGCAATGTTAGAGGACTCAGATACTTTACTTCGAATTTTTAACATATACCCTCGGAAGTTGCCAAAGTCTTGGAAGTCTCCAAAGTAACTAGAACGACACGTTTCAATCATACCAATTTCCCACGGCCTAGTGCTCTTCCATCCATGCTCTTCTATTCAAAACACTCTGATGTTCGTCAGGCACGACCCTTTGCTTCGTAATTCGAAGCAGATGCTTGTGGCCAACGTCTCTGCAGTCTCTAAGCTTAATGTCTAAAGTCTCAGAAGTCGCTAAAGCTGCCAAAGTCACCAGTCCGGTCTCCCAAGGTGCCACAGTGGACTCGAACCTCCCACGCCAGTGCCCTTCTATCCCAAACGCTCCAACCTCCCTCAAGTACAAACATCTGCTTCGTAATTCGAAGCAGACGTTGTGGCCAAAGTTTTTGCAGTCTCTAATCCCAATATCTACAACTACACATCTTTGCTCCGTAATTCGAAGCGGATGTTGCCAACGTCTTCGAAGTCGCCAAAGTAAACAGCTACCGCGTTTGACTTGGACCTCCCACGGCACTGCTCTTCTATCCTAAACACTCCGACGTTCGTCAAGTACCACCCTTTGCTCCGTAATTCGAAGCAGATGCATGTGGCCAACGTCTCCGTAGTCACTAAGCTTAATATGTAAAGCCTCAGAAGTCGCTAAAGCTGTTAAATTCGCCAGTCCAGCCTCCCAAGGTGCCACATCTGACTTCAACCTCTCACGCCAGGGCCCTTATATCCAAAATACTCGGACGCTCGTACAAACCTCTGCTTCGTAATTCGAAGCAGATGTCGCCAAAGTCTTGGAAGTCTCCCAAGGTTCCACATCTGACTTGAACCTCTCACGCCAGCGCCCTTATATCCAAATACTCGGACATTCGTACAAACCTCTGCTTCGTAATTCGAAAGCAGATGTCGCCAAAGTCTGGAAGTCTCCCAAGGTTCCACATCTGACTTGAACCTCTCACGCCAGCGCCCTTATATCCAAAACTACTCGGACATTCGTACAAACCTCTGCTTCGTAATTCGAAGCAGATGTCGCCAAAGTCTTGGAGGTCTCCGAAGCTGCTTACGTTTCACTCGACTCCTTGGTACGCCGGTGCCCTTACATCAAAACATCCCGACGCTCGTACAAACCTCTACTTCGTAATTCGAAGCAGATTGTCGCCAAAGTCTTGGAGGTCCTCCGAAGCTGCTATGTTTGACTTGACCTCTCACGCCAGCGCCCTTATATCCAAAATACTCGGACATTCGTACAAACCTCTGCTTCGTAATTCGAAGCAGATGTCGCCAAGTCTTGGAAGTCTCCGAAGCTGCTACGTTTCACTCGAACTCCTTGGTCACCTCTGCTTCGTAATTCGAAGCAGATGTCGCCAAAGTCTTGGAAGTCTCCGAAGCTGCTACGTTTCACTCGAACTCCTTGGTACGCCGGTGCCCTTACATCCAAAACATCCCGACGCTCGTACAAACCTCTACTTCGTAATTCGAAGCAGATGTCGCCAAAGTCTTGGAGGTCTCCGAAGCTGCTATGTTTGACTTGAACCTCTCACGCCAGCGCCCTTATATCCAAAATACTCGGACATTCGTACAAACCTCTGCTTCGTAATTCGAAGCAGATGTCGCCAAAGTCTTGGAAGCCTCCGAAGCTGCTACGTTTGACTTGAACCTCTCACGCCAGTGCCCTTATATCCAATGTACTCGGATGTTCGTACAAACCTTTGCTTCGTAATTCGAAGCAGACGCCGTCGCAAACGGCTCCATAGCCTCTAACCCTAATGTCTAAAGTCTCGGAAGTCGCTAAAGTCGCCAGCCTCCAAGCTGCCACGTTTGACTTGGACGCGTCAAACTGAGCCTTCCCTCGTCGGACCCCCCGTCATGTCCTCTACAACACCTCCATAGCGGTCCTCAACCAGATCCCTTCATCGTACGAACGCCGTTTTCCTTGTCAACCGCATGCTCACATTTACCGCAGGCAAAACGTCAGATCGCCCCTTCCTCTCAATCCTCCTAGTTTACTAGTCGTTGCAGGTTCATGTCGTACGTGTTTTTTTTTGTAATCCGGCATCGCTTGCATTCACTTAGAGGTCAACGTACTAAAGACTTTTTCAGCGGTGTACGACTCTACACGTATTCGCTGATTGCAGAGGTTATCCTAGAAGTAGATCATGCTCAACCATTTGCACAAACGCTATGGAGAAACTGACGCGTTCGACTGCTTCATTCGTTTCAGACCGCACTCGCTCAAATTTTTCTGGTACGAGACTTCCTCACATTCGCATTCATTATCTTGCAGCAGTTTGCCCTACATATACTACATATACTACATATACCACAGGTATACCCATTTCCCGGTTTCACCGTGTGACTCGTCTATGCAGCCCTACAATCGATCAAGCTACAGATAACACCATTGTCGTGACCATGGACGGCCGCAGAAACTCACCGTCCCCATATCGCCTCACCCCCAAGTTCGCCTACTGTAATGCAGCAGTCCCATCCCCCTTGCCCCGCTTCCATGAACCCAATCAGTGGAAACCATGCTGGTACTCCTACGTCAGGTAGCGTGCTCTCTCTGGTTTCCTGCGACCTCGCTATTTTTGATCCTGATCATCTGCTGATGTTCCGGTGTCAATTGGAACAAAGGCGGGCTAGCACGAGACCGAACGAGTGTAGGTTGGAATGGACAGCAACAGCGCATCCAGCAGTCGTGTTCTATTGTAGCCGTGTACATGTAATTCACATTTCCAATATCATTGTAACAGATCCGGTACAACCTAGAGTAACGCGAAAATATTGTATGCACACACATTTGCACATGTCCTAGTATCATTTTCTGGAGAGTTGATCTTGCTCAGCTCTGACAACTTTCACGGAACGCCATCCATTCTCAGCACAGTTGGTTCTCAGCGTGCCTCAATCTCAAAACATTAAATTTGACCACAGTTGAAGGATTCGCGACTCCACATAATCATTATCTATAGCACGTTGAACTACAGACCACCGAAATGGAATTTCCACGTTTGTGTGTGGAATTGTGGATCAACAATATTGCCATTTGTGGCACCTCAACATTGCTCACACTCCGCCTGCCTTGATTACTCAAATCCTTGACTTAAACTCCTCGTCACTTGTTCATCAACTACATTCAATCTCACCGTAACTTCTCGTTGGAAATTCCAGCGAGTCGTTTCTCGGTGGTTTATATCTCTACGAACACGCGCTCAACAAGCACTCCGACTCTAAATACCTGCCCATCTGCGTTTCAACACATCACCAGTGCGCATCCAGCATTTCGTTGATATCCCCAACCACCTAAACTCGAGTCTTCTCTCCGTGGTTCAGTCCCTCAACTTCTCGAACCGCGCATTGCCTTACACCCTCTCCGACACGTCACATGCCTCGGTTCAACGCTCCATCCTCAAGAAAGCCAAAGGCCGCGAATTCCACACCTCGTATACGGCCTGCGGCCATGTCTGTGACTCGAAAACCCACAGTCGAAGATCATGCTCCTGGTGAGACAAATCCTCATCATCATTCACAACACCTCATTTCCGTTCCTTAGACAATGAAAAGGGATCAACGTCCCTCGGAGCTTCGTCTTGGCCAGAGAACCCATGGGCAGACGTCGAGCAAATCACCACACGGCCAAAACGGGGCCCTACATGTACGTCGACCGAATATCTATTAACACTCGTCTGACTCCTTTGCTCCAGTCGTCGACTATTGCAGCAAGCCGGGCCAATTCTGGCCAGACGGACAAGAGCCTCCCTTCAAAGGTCAGAAAGCCGCGAAGCGTATCTTCGTCACCAAAGGCAAAACGCAACCGCGCAAAGAGATCACCAAAAATTACGAAGAAATCAAAGAGCTGAAGAACTATGTGCCGTCTGACATATTTCACCCACGAACGGGAGATATCGAACTCTACTACGACTACTCCGACTACGACGGTACCGACGAGGAGGATCTATTTGACATCGACGAGGATGACGCTATACCTCCCCCCGCAGTCGCTCCCGTTCCTCCTCCTACCGTTGTCCCCACTCCTCCGCGTGTTACTGTCCATGTACCGGTTGGAAAATGGGTCGATGCAGGAGACAGAGCATTAGATCCAGAAGACCTCGATCTTCTATCGGAGATTATGGACATCCCGAAAGAGGTATCCAGCATGCTGCTGCCATCATCCGACGCCGTCAATGTACGGCAGATACTAAAATTCACGCTGCCCGACGTCGACGATGGGTCCTTCGCACAGGCCGGAGCATCATGCTTTGACAGTGCACGTCCGAACGAGAACCTGGACCTCCCACCATTTATACCCCCAAAGCCGTGGGTTTATAGCCTTCGAGAGTCTCTCGACGATGCCATTCGCGAAGGAAAGAGGTCGATCGTCCACCCCCAACTCAAAGATCAACCGTTGCCTCTTTGGATGTTGAGTCTTTGGGAGAAGCTACACGCGGTGCGCGATGCCAAAATGTTGTGGCAAAATGCAAATAGGTGGTTGTCGCAAAAAATGTACGACTGCGATATGAATCCTCTATCTGCCCGCCAAGAGATGTATCGTCTACCATACCACAAGAAGTTGGCTGGGCAAGCCTCAACTAGCCTAAGAAGTACATCACAGCTTGCACGATTCTTGTCGGACGACGCTTGGTTGTCGGATTCTCTCGTGGACATGATGATACACTCCACTATCCGACGATTAGTCCCCAACCAGTCCAACCTCGTTATCACTGACACCGAGCTCGCGGATGCGATCTGCATGGCTAAACCGAACTTTGATTCGTTGCCCAATGCATTCAAGACGTTAGAGCAGACGCTCGCCGAAGGGAAGATTCTCTTTTTCCCAGTGTGCATCCCCGGAATGTCCCACTTTGTTGCGTTTCGCATTGATTTTAAACGTAAAACCTTGCGCTATGGTAGGACATTTCCCTAACTAGTAAGATACAAACTGATTTTAACACAGGAGACTCTTTGAATCTCCGAGGGGGACTCGGGAGCTTCATTCAGAAGTTACAGCGGTGGCTCACCGTGCGTTTTCATGGGCCATTCGAAGACCAAGGAAATACCCTCGCACACGGCATTCAGCAAGATTCAATTTCTTGCGGACTGTTTTGCGTTAATACCATTGCTCATAACGTCTTTGGCGATCCCCTCGGCGTCCCTGACCCTGCGCGTGCACGAGCGAAATGGTTTCAGCGGATCGCTTTCGAGTATATTACCGCGGTGCCACAAGAAGAAATTCCTACCGTTTCTACGTCTGATACGGTAGCAGGTCCCCCTCCTCCTCCTTCGACGTCACCAGGCGGGCTGCCGCAGTGTCAAACTGAAACGGAGCAGCAAAAGAAGGAAAAGAGGAAGCAGCTGATACCAATATTTAAGGAGAAAGCTGATGCACGAGCAGCAGATGTTGCGCGGGCCAAGAAAGAGATGGAGATGGAGGAGCAGAAGGAGATCGAAAGGCAGATGGAAGTCGAGAGGCAGAAGCAGCTCGAGATCGAGAGGCAGATGGAAGTCGAGATCGAAAGGCAGCAGGAATCCGACAGGCAGAGGGAGCTTGAGATCAAGAGGCAGCAGGACCTTGAGATCGAAAGGCAGAAGGAAGCCGACAGGCAGAGGGAACTTGAACGTGAACGCCTCGAACGGGTACAGAAGGCGGATTCGGGTGGTCGAGTTATCGCGGAGGACGGCATGGACGTCGACATCGAGCCAGGCGAAGTGACCTCTGGGTCACACGCACCATCTCCAACCAAGGGCAAGACGGACACAGTCAATCGCCGAGATCGTTCTCCTCGTCGCCCACATGCGCCCTTCGTTCCAAACCGTTCACGTCGTTCATTGTCTCCTCCTCCACGTGGATCGCCATACCATGCATCTCGCCGAGAACTGTCTCCCCCCCGTCGACCATCGTCATATAGAGATTACGCTCCGTCTCAGTCTGACCGTCGCGCGCCTCCTCGTCGTTACCGATCACCTCCCCAAGAACATTCGACTCGCCGCGGTAGATCCCCCTCGCCGGGTAGAGCTCGGGGAAGTCACAGACAGTCCAACCGTCAACACAGTCCTGTCCGGAGAAGTTATCGCAGTACGTTTGCTTTCCCTCAAAACAGGCAGCTTGTCATAACAATTTTTTCTTATCACAGCGCCTTTGCCTCATCGCGGGCCACAACCAAACCGGCGCCGTGAGTACATACTATCGTTACTCTGAATCCTGAACTTATTTTTATATTTATAGCTCTTGATTCATGTCACCCTTCGTATCCCACACGAGCACCTTCCACCAACGTACCTGCTGCACCGTCATCAATTCCTGGCACTTTGTCTCTCCCAATGGGATATCTACAGTTCTTGCCCTCTTCTACTGTAACAAGCGTCGCAGGGTTGAACATGATGGGCTGCCGTCCTGCCAATAACACAGTAACCCGCTTCATCTTAGATCGAACGAACTGCCTCGCACAGTACGACGACCTCAATCCGCTTTCCCCCGTCGTTGCGTAGCGATCCTCAAAATCGCCTTCTCCACATCGCTTGTTACCCTCCATATCACCTCCTCCATGCCATATCTCGTGGTAGGTTGGTCGTATCCAAGAGGACTGAAATCAGACTGCGTCTATGGAGAGCGCAATATCCGGATGTCCCCCTGTGGTTTTTTCGCAATTCGTTGTCTCTCCCGCGGAATGGATTGGCGGGTCTTTGCCAATCCCCAGCACCTCGTCGGCCCACTGAGTACCCTCTCAGGTCCACGTCCCGCCTATCTGGACCAAAAACCTCTCTTGCTCACAAGGGGCAACGGAGAGTTTGAGCGGTACGAAAACAGCGTCAGGGATATGCTCCGACTCCCATTCAGCCGCCGTTTCTGTGGTATGGGCGGTCTTCTGTGGCGACTTGCAATCCAATTTGGACCAGACAACCTAATTTCGGCTGCCCTGTCTGGACCTTCGAGCGACGCTTCTATGCACTCGAACGTCGAGCGTATCGGCACCGATGTTGACGACATGGTAACGGACGCCCACATCAATACCCTATTAGGCCTAACGGACGACAACCATATCTTATGGCCTCCCATTGATGTATTTGACAAGTACACGCAGTGGCAAGGAGAATGGACGGCAAGCCTGGAGACATGGTTCATGAGGCACATTGCCGCGATGAAAAATAGGGATTCGCGCGCATTTGCCACCCGTAGTCAATGGATATCGAGACTTGGCCAGCATACGGCAACTTCGTTCAAAGACGCCAAGGTTGTGACTGAGGGGCAAGCGGAGTTGTTGTGCTACGACATTGATCGGTTGGATCCGAGATCTTTCGCGGCTTTAGATTAGCTTGGGTCATCGTCATTTTATTTGGTTTACAGAAAATCGCTCGTTATACCCATACCGCACATCTAGCAACGGAATGTACTTTTACTTACTCATACTTCTTGTACAATTATTGGGTTCAGGAATTCAAACTTCAAGAACAGAACGGTATTTGCACGATACATTGGATCAAAGGACTATCGCTTCATGGTATGCAATTTTGTCTTGAGACTTTTTCCAAATCTACGTCTTATAAAGTCCACGAAGTCGAACCTCGAAATCTATGTCTCAGAAGTCGCTAAAGTGGAACTTCCAAATCTATGTCTTACAAGTCGCTGAAGTAGTCACAACCGAATTACCATTACTAGTATCCGATATTTATTCATGTACAATAATGATCGCTACACCGGTCTTTCTCCAGTTAATTCCTGTATACAGGCGAAGATCAGGGAGAACACATCGGTGTCCCAGTTTGAAAGTTTGTTTTGGAGGACTGAGACAAGTTGTTCGAAACCCATGCCGGTATCAACATGCTTGTTTGGGAGTGGCTCAAGCAAGCAGTTGATACAGGCATGGGTTTCGAACAAACTTGTCTCAGTCCTCCAAAACAAACTTTCAAACTGGGACACCGATGTGTTCTCCCTGATCTTCGGCCTGTATACAGAATTAACTGGAGAAAGACCGTGTAGCGATCATTATTGTACATGAATAAATATCGGATACTAGTAATGGTAATATCGGTTTGTGACTACTTCAGCGACTTGTAAGACATAGATTTGGAAGTTCCACTTCAGCGATAGATTTGGAAGTTCCACTTCAGCGACTTCTGAGACATAGATTTCGAGGTTCGACTTCGTGGACTTATAAGACATCGATTTGGAAAAAGTCTCAAGACAAAACTGCATACCATGAAGCGATAATCCTTTGATCGAATGTATCGTGCAAATCCATATCTTAAGGACGTTTGGGTCGTCACCATCCTGAGGCCCATGAACTCAAATGCTGAACGGTGCTGATACTGTTTCTGCGGATGTGACTGCCCGAATCAGTGGTGGACCGAAGTTGAAAACCGATAGTATGGTTCTCGACCACTTCCGACTTAATGCTTTAACGCATCAACATCGACGTTCGACCAGATCACTAGTCTGTAATTCAGACTAGTCATCCTTCCGGAAAGACAACCTGGCTGTAGACGCTTTCCCTCCTCACGGCGTGCACTTGAACCCGATTCTCGACCCTCTGCTACTCACTCTCCCTCTCTCAACACTCTGTGCATATCCCCCCGCAGGACATGGCGTCCATAAATTCGATCACAAATTTCTGCGCGGGTTCTCCTCGCCATAGAACCGCAACGCTAGTTGAACGGCTGGTACTGTGACGCACATCTCGGACTGTCTTGCAACTACTGTGCCGTAAATCTCAAATATGTATTGCCTTTAGCTGGCTTTAACTATCCTCAGACCAAAACACGGAAATCACATAAAAGTACATAGCATTTCACAGTATACACCTGTATGTTTTGTCTAACATAGTGCATCGCACCAACAGACAATAAACATTGATATTATATATAAACCCTTATCAACCGTGCATGACCCCTGTTCGCCCTTGTAGTGCCTGGCTAGACTCAGCATAGGACTTAGAGTCATGTTCTATTGATGGAAATCCGGTTCCGACTTCCCTGGCCTGACAGCCAGGTCCTGACTTTCCTTGGCAGGAGAAGTGAAGGCAGCACACACATGTCTGAATGACTCCAGCTCACGCACCAACATTGCAGGGATGCGGCTGCAAGGCAACATAACGCTCGTTGGGAAACGCAAGACCACCATGGCCTCAGTGATAATTGGGCAACAACGCCTCGCCTACAATCAAACAAATGAATACATGAACACAGGTAGCCAGTCATGTCTGCCTGGATTGCTGCCCCTTGACAGGAGAAGGTAACGTGGTGCATAGATGTCTGGATGACTCCATAGCACACTCCCTTGTCAGGGAGGCGTCCACATCGTTATGTGGTGGGAACTTGAGAAGTTGGAAGAAAAAGTTGAACATTGAACAGATATATACAAATCCTCAACGCCA